GGAGAGAAGAAAAAAGAAAGGATGAGAGAAAAGAAGGAGAAGAAAGAAGAAAGGAAAAGAGAGAAGAAAAAAGAAGAGGAGGAGAGGAAGAGAAAGGGGGAAAGAAGGGGAAAAAAGGGGGGGAGAAAGAGAGGAAGAAGGTGAAGAAGGGGGAGGGGAGGACCAGAGCCCGTAGGGGAGAGGGTGGGGGAGGGGATGAGGAACGGTGAGGGCGGCTGGGGCGGCCGGGAAGGCAGCACAGGCGAGGCGTGGCGCACCTCAAACTCGAGCGAGTAGCGGGAATCTCACCCGCTGCTCCGGCGGGAGATTGCTCCCCCGCCGCCCCCTGGGTCACCCCGAGTGACCTCGCAGCCCACGCCGTGAGGCGCTGCTGTCAGAGGGGTTTTATCACCGCCGTATCCACCCCACACTGGCCGCCGAGGGGCCCGGCGGGCTGAGGCGCGCGAGGCGGCTTGGGCACCCGTGGGTCGGATGGATCCGTCCCGGCACGTTGTCCCGCGGTGTGGCCGTGTAGCTGGCACCGGAGTCATGACGCACACGCCTACTTGCGGCACGAGGGAAGGCGTGACGCGTCGTAAACGGCCGAGATGGGCAAACGCGAGGGTCTCAAAAAGCCAGCCCGAGGCTGAAAGGATGACCGCGGACGATGAGGGCGACGATTCATCGCGGCTACTGAGCAGGCAAGGTCCGGACCTACAGGATGGAGGGGCGAGTAGTGAGACTCGGGACGATATCTTCGCGTCGGGGGTCGGAAATCGCGTCGGGAGGCCAAAATCCAGATCGGGCGCCGAAGCGCAGTTAGTGTTGGTGTGGCGGTCTCGTCGAGTTCTGGGCGGGGACCGTCCTACAGCAGTCGTCTCATGTGATGAGGTGGTCGCGGAGCGGTTGCCAGGACCTTGGTAGTGCCTGCATCGCGTGCGCCGGCCCTCGGTGAGCCCTCCCGAGGCCTCTCACGCCGCCAGCCGGGGGACGGCAGCCGTTGGGATGGTTCCCTCGCAGCTCGCCGGCGCGGCGGGGGTGAGGCGAGTCTCGCCGGATGCGCCCGACAGCGGGAGCGGCCGGCCGGCATCCTGCCCGCCACGGCGGCGGCAAGCTGCGACTCGGCGTGCGGCGACTTTTTGCTCGGTCGAGTCTCTTGAGAAAACGCCGGTATTTCTCGTGGTCGCTCTTCAGTGCCAAAAGCCCAATGTGACCCGACACCCCCCGCGATCACCCGAGATGACCCGAGATCAGGCTGCGCGAGATGGGCGTCGAGCCGGAGGAGGTTGCGGTGCCCGCGGTGCCGCGGAGCGAGGCGGGCGAGGGCGGCGCGACGGCGAGGCGGCGGCGTGGGGCGACGGCGAGGAGGAGGGCGTGCCGCACGTGAACGAGGGCGTGCAGCTGCAGATCACTCCGCACTTGCACGAGCAACAGGCCAACACCACCTCGTCTCGCGCCACTCGATCACCGGCCAGCTGCTCACGCACGACTACCAGACGGTGGAGGAGCTGCCGCCCGAGCTGGGCCTCAACGTCGTCTCCCAAAAGTGGGGCATCTCGGCCGAGGCGGCCGCCGCGCTCAAGGGACAAGGCCGAGCGCGAGGCCAAGGAGGCGGCGCGGCGGGCGGAGGCCGCTCGGCAGCCCGCCTTCAAGAACCCCCTCTGCCCCAGCCCGTCCTCGCGCGGCGCCAGGCGGGCCGACAGCGCCGCCGAGTGGCCGACGCCGTGACGGGGAGTTCTCTCCCAAGCTCCTCTCCCGCCCGCGCGGGGCGGCTGTCAAGGGCTGCGCGCTGAGCGTTGCACGTCCCCCCCTCCCCCCCGCGTGCACACACACACACACACACACACACACACACACACACACACACACACACACACACACACACACACACACACACACACACACACACACACACACACACACACACCCCACACACACACACACACACACACACACATGAAAGGGAGGGTGCGGGCGCGCGATTTCTTTTTGCGCAGCGGCGCCGCCAGGCGCCCGCCCCGGCGGTGAGCGACGCGTAGCGAGCGAATCGCCGGGGTGGGCGCCTGGCGGCTCCGCGGAGCTCCTTTGGCTCGGCGCGGGCGGGGGCGCGAGTAAAAAGAAATTTAGCGCCGTCTCCCAGGCCTCGCCTGCGCTGGCGAAGGCCGCGAAAGATATAGAATGCCAAATCGCTGCTGCGTCGGGATGCGGGTAGCTCGCGAGAAGCCGTTCAAGCCCGGCCATCCTCACCCCCCCAAGCAGCTGCGGCCGCAATTTCAGCCGGTCCCGTGACCGCCCCGACCCGGCAGGCGCGCGTTCGAGCGAGGCCGTTCCGCAGAGCACACCGAGAGGGGCCGGTCGCGCGCAGCGCCAGGATGCGGCCGCCGCATGCAGCCTCCGCGGAGGCTGCATGCGGCGGCCACTTCCCGTCGGTCTTTCGCCGCGCTCCGGCCGCTCCTTCAGGCGAGGCCCTGGCCACCAAACTCCGGGAACGGGCAGCAGCGCGACACTTTTCGAGAGCGAGCGGCGGCGGCGGCTCAGCACCAACCTTTGCAACGCAGGGGCTGGCCGCGTGGGCCCCCACCACCGGACTGCGTCGGGCTCGCGTCTCCCTGCCCGCGCGGGAGCTGAGGGGAGCGCAGTGTGTGTGTGTGTGTGTGTGTGTGTGTGTGTGTGTGTGTGTGTGTGTGTGTGTGTGTGTGTGTGTGTGTGTGTGTGTGTGTGTGTGTGTGTGTGTGTGTGTGTGTGTGTGTGTGTGTGTGTGTGTGTGTGTGTGTGTGTGTGTGTGTGTGTGTGTGTGTGCGTGTGTGTGTGTGTGTGTGTGTGTGTGTGTGTGTGTGTGTGGATGTGTCTGTGACTGTGTCCCTGTCGTGTCGTGTGTGTGTCGTGTGTTTAACTCTCGCACTAGCTCTCGCCCTCTCGCAAGCCTGGCGCCCTGGCCTCCGCCCTAAAACCGCCCGGCGGCCCGCACGCTCGACAGAACCCGGACGACGTGCGTGTTTCCTTCTCTACGAAAACACACACTCCCAAGTCAGCGCCATCGAGCAGCATCGAGAACAACAAGACTTTGGCGAGCCAACGCAGCCGAGAGATAAAATCTTCGCAAGAGGAGAGCCAGGCCGCACAGCGCGAACTCGGTACTCGCCGCCGTACTGAGCCTAGCGCAGCGCGAACTCGCCGTCTGAGCCTAGCGCAGCGCGAACTCGCTCCTGTCGCTGCGCAACCCTAGCCGAGCTCCATTTTTTCAGAAACGGTTGATGGATGATGAAGGAAACAAATCACAAAACTATCTAACACGGACGGTTCAACGGGTCCCATGAGCACGAAAAGAGAGAACCACGACGCAGAAGAAGAAAAGCTCCTGCCGAGTTTGCCTCGGCAGGGCAACCCAGAGAGGGTGTCCGAGTGACGGTGCTAGCTCAACTCCCCAAGAAGAAAACAAGTAACCTGTCAAGAAACTCTGGCGCTAATGTCTTCACATAAACGCACCTGTGTCTTCACAGCAAGTAGCGACCCACAAAAATGCTGATGCCACCGCCTGGTTTGCAGCCGCAGTTCATGTTCTGCACCTTCACGAGCATCCTCGCCGCGGCGACCGCGCGCCCGCGCGTCTCAAGCCCAACAGTCCGCTTCGGCGGCCCTCTTCCTCCCGGATCTTGCATGCAAGCCGGCGGCGGGTGGCGAGCGAACGACGGAGTCGCGGACACTTCTCGAGTCCCAACCAAGGATTCTGTCAAGACCGAGGCCCCGCCGGATGCGGCGTCCGCCCCTCTCACGACCCTTGAGGCGTCCATCGGCCTCCTTGCCCCGCTCGGCCCGCCAACGACCAAGCCGGCGGGCGGCGGGCGAGCGGCAGCGCCCCGGCACCTCCTCTTCCTCCAGAGCGACCGGGCCGTCGATGCGCGTCTGAAGGCCGCGCTGGGGGAGTTTGCGTGTCCTGCAGAGCTCCGCTCCACCCGGATCTCCGACTCGAACGCGGTCGAGTCCGATCGCTTCTCCGTCTCAAGCGGCTACGCCGACCGGCAGCGCGCCTGCGCCTCCTTTGCCCGCGCCAACTCCTCGCTGCTCGAGGACGAGCTGAATCGGGCGGATCAGGTATTGGCGACCCGCACTGCACTCCCCACGCCGCTGCATGGGCTGCCAAACACCGTCACCCCTCTGGCTATGCCCACCCGCGCGCTGCCCTGTCTGCCCACCCGCGCGCCGCCCTGTCTGCCTGTTTGCCCTGTCTGCCCTGCATGAACACTCGCTCCTTTGGCCGCTCCAGGTGCGCACCCGCCACCCCGCCACGGCGGGAGGTCACCTTGCGCTCGAGTCCGAGGAGCCACCAGGCTGCTTGGCCGCCTCTGGCAAGGCCCAGGCGTCGCTGCCCATCCCGGCCCAGTCTGGGTACACTCTCATCGCGGGCGCCGTCCGGATCGAACCGGACTCCGCCAGCCCTTCTCTTTTCTCTGGTCTCACGGTCGCTGCCGGGCAGCTGGTCGAGACGAGCCTCGTGCGCGCAGGAGCCTTTGTGCTACTCAGCAAATTCACTTCGCTCAAACCAGCCGCCGTGGCCACCGCCGCGCTGTGCTTCGGCAGGGCGGCCGCGTCTCCCACGGATCCACAAGGCGAGGTGCTGCAGCCGTGTGGCTGCGAGGAGGATGGCGTATCGTTCTGTACTTTTGACGCCGGCTTTTGCGAGCTTTGTATCTACCATGCCAACCGAGCCTCCTGCTACGACGATGGTCTCCCTGACACTGGTGCCCATGATTGCGCTAAGCGCTGCTTTGGTGATCCGCCCGCACCGCCACCAACGCCGCCGTCGCCGCCGTCGCCGCCTTCACCGCCTCCTTTACCGCCGCTGCCGCCGCTGCCGCCGCTCTCCCCCGGCTTCGATGTCGCCGCGGCGAGCGAGGACAAGCTCCGCTCCCTGATCACGGAGGCTGCTGCCAACATCTCAATCTACCTGCCGCCCGGTGCGCACTTCAAGCTGTTCAGCCAGATCAGCTGCACCTCCACCATCAAGGTGACCGTCGCCAGCAGCGGCGAGGGCTCGACGCTCGACGGCCAGGGAGAGACCAGGCTCTTTTACCTCTCGGGCGGCTGCAGCCTCACCCTGCGGGGGCTGAACCTCGTCAACGGGAGAGGGGCGGCTGCAGCCTCACCCTGCGGGGGCGTCTGGGTCGATGATGAGTGTAAGAAGGAGGGGGAGGAGTACGAGGAGTACGAGGGCGAGGAGTACGAGGGCGAGGAGGGGCAGGGGGAGGAGTACGGCGGCGTTGTGCACGCGAACAACGCAGGCGACATCGAGATCATCGACTCGACTATGACAGGGTGCTCGGCTGAGGTGCGCCGCGTAGCCTAGCAGCCCCGCCCATGGCAGCGGTGTGAGAGAGATCCGGATTCTGCAGTTTAGAGACGAGTCCCACCATCCGCTGCCCTCTGTCCTCGCAACCGCAGTCTGGCGGCGTCGTCGCCGCGTATGAGAGCGGTGCGGTCTCGATCATCGGCTCGACCGTGACGAGCTGCTCGGCTGAAGCTGTGCGCCGCATAGATAGAGCTAGGCTCTCCATGCAGCGGGTAGAGGGATGAAGAGGGCCACGGGTGCCTCACCCTGCTCTCTCCTCGCATCCGCAGGAGGGCGGCGGCGTCGTCTTGGCGGTTGAGAGCGGTGCGGTCTCGATAAGCGACTCGACCGTGTCGGGCTGCTCGGCTGAACGGGTGCGCAGCGTAGAGCTAGCCGCCTCCAGCAGCGGCGCACGGCAGCGGGGCGAGAGATGGAGAGGGCCACGGCTGCCTCACCCCGTTCTCTCCTCGCAACCGCAGTACGGCGGCGTCGTCTACGCGGAGGGCAGCGGTGCGGTCTCGATAATCGGCTCCACCGTGTCGGGCTGCTCTACTGGCTATGTGCGCCGCGTAGAGCTAGCCACACCCCTGCAGCGCCGCACGGCAGCGGGGCGAGAGCTGGAGAGGGCCACGGCTGCCTCACCCCGGTCTCTCCTCGCAAACGCAGGAGGGCGGCGTCGTTGCCATGGCGAGCAGCGGTGCGGTCTCGATAATCGGCTCGACCGTGACCGGCTGCTCTTCGGACAAAGTGCGCCGCGTAGAGCTAGCCGCATCCTTGCAGTGCCTCACGTCAGCGAGGCGAGAGATGGAGAGGGCCACGGCTGCCTCACCCCGCTCTCTCCTCGCAACCGCAGGAGGGCGGCGTCGTCTACGCGGAGGAGAGCGGTGCGGTCTCGATAAACGGCTCCACCGTGACGAGCTGCTCTGCTAGAGTGCGCCGCGTAGAGCTAGCCACACCCCTGCAGCGCCGCACGGCAGCGGGGCGAGATATAGAGAGGGCCACGGCTGCCTCACCCCGCTCTCTCCTCGCAACCGCAGGAGGGCGGCGTCGTCTACGCCTGGTACGCGGAGGACAGCGGTGCGGTCTCGATCATCGGCTCGACCGTGTCGGGCTGCTCGGCTGAACGGGTGCGCAGCGTAGAGCTAGCCGCCTCCAGCAGCGGCGCACGGCAGCGGGGCGAGAGCTGGAGAGGGCCACGGCTGCCTCACCCCGGTCTCTCCTCGCAACCGCAGTACGGCGGCGTCGTCTACGTCTACGCGTATGAGAGCGGTGCGGTCTCGATAAGCGGCTCGACCGTGTCGGGCTGCTCTGCTGGCTATGTGCGCCGCGTAGAGCTAGCCACACCCCTGCAGCGCCGCACGGCAGCGGGGCGAGAGATAGAGATGGCCACGGCTGCCTCACCCCGGTCTCTCCTCGCAAACGCAGGAGGGCGGCGTCGTCTACGCGGAGGACAGCGGTGCGGTCTCGATAATCGGCTCCACCGTGTCGGGCTGCTCTGCTGGAGTGCGCCGCGTAGAGCTAGCCACACCCCTGCAGCGCCGCACGGCAGCGGGGCGAGAGATAGAGATGGCCACGGCTGCCTCACCCCGGTCTCTCCTCGCAACCGCAGGACGGCGGAGCTACATACACGAGGGACACCGACCTGATCGTGACCGACTCCACCGTCTCCGGCTGCAATGCCACGCGAGGCGGAGCCGTGTACGTGAGGTCGGGTTCAGCCAGCCTAGCCCGCTCCGCCATCTCCAACTGCATCGCCTCAGAGGCTGGCGGCGGCCTCTACTCGGCGGGCGGGCGCACCTCCCTGAGCGACGGCACCCTCATCAGCGGCTGCACCGCCCCGGAGGGTCAGGGGAGCTCCATCTTCCTGCTCGCTGGCGAGGTCTCCTACGCCCTCCCCGCCCCCGCCGGCCGCTGGCTGCCAAACGCGCGCTGCGAGGTGTACCGGGAGGCGTGCTCATACGATCCGTACCCGTACACCGAGAGGGCTAAGCAAGCAGCTTGCCTTGAGCACCGCGACGATTGCGCGGGCAGGCAAGACCCGACCCCACCCGAGTGGTATTGCCAGGCCCCAACCTTCGTGCAGCCGTGCAACTGGAACAACGAGACCGGCGACCACTCCCTCCTTGGCGAGAACCTCTACCAGCTGCCGCTTCTCCCCGTCGAGCTGGACTTTCCCTTCGCCTGCGCCGCCGGCCTCCTCGGATCGGCCGACCCCGAGTACCAGTCGAGCAGCAGCTGCGCCGGCCGCTGCCCCGCACGCTCCCAATGCCCCACAGAGGCGACCTATGAGCCCCCGCCCTGCGATACTGGCCACTACTGCCCGGAGGGGACGAGCGTGCCCCTTCCCTGCCCCGCCGGGTCGTACTCGACCGCCACCAACCTCTCCGACGCGAGCGAGTGCACGGCCTGCCCCGCCGGCAGCGCCTGCTCAACGGGCAGCGTCGATCCGACGCCGTGCTCGCCTGGCACCTTCGCCGCGAAAGAGGGCCAGCCTAACTGCACGCCGTGCCCTCCCGGCACCTCGTCGGGTCAAGGCAGCGACGCGTGCGACGCGTGCGAGGCTGGCCGCTACGCCGCCAACGCTGGCCAGGGCCTGTGCGTCCCGTGTCCTCACCCCCTCAGCTCGGTCAACGGCAGCGTCACCTGCTCGTTTTGCATGGACGGCTACTACTTGCGTAACACCTCGGCCGACGCGGACGATATCTTCACCTCTCCGACCGAGTACTGCAAGCCTTGCGCGCCCAACGCTGTCTGCCCGGACAACACTACCCTTTCATCCCTCGTCCTCCCGCGCGGCTTCTGGCGCGCCAGCCCCTCCTCCGCCGTGCTGACAGAGTGCCGCCTCTTTGGCGGCAATGACAACGCCGGCAAGACGCGATGCGCCGGCAGCGAGCCGGTGGCGGGAGAGGCCTCTCGCCGCCGGAGGATGGAGGAGGCGGGCTCGGAGTACTGCGCTTCGGACTTTGAAGGCCCCGAGTGCCAGCTCTGCGCCGCGGAGAATCACTACCTCGTCGACGGCGACGAGTGCAAAGAGTGCGCAGCGCGCGGCGCCGCTGCGGGTCGCATCATCGGCCTCGTCCTCGGCCTCTGTGTCGCTTGCGGCCTCGCGGCTTGGGCTTACAACATGCCGCGGCGGAAGGAGCCCTACATCGGCTGTATCCTCCGCTTTGCAGACCGCGTCGTCAAGTACTACGTCGTGGGCGGAATGACGGCCAAGGTCAAGATCCTGTTTGGCTTCTACCAGATCAGCACCGTCTTGTCCTCCACCTACTCGGCGCGGTTGCCGCGAGAGTACACGCGCTGGACGGACAAGCTGGCCAACGCCGTCTCCATCGACTGGGCTGGCTTTTTCCTGCCGGAGCAGTGCCTCGGCTACGGCCTGCGGCTCCTCGTCATCGCTCTCTCCCCCGTCGCCCTCATCGCGCTGCTAATGGGAGCGGGAATAAGTCAGCGGCTCCTGCACCGCTGGCGTGCTGCCCCGGCGCCGCGCGAGAGATCGTGGTACGCGGAGGCGGCCCTCGGCCTCCTGGACCTCACGCCGGCCGGCCTCGTGCTCGTCTTCTGCTTCGTGCCCTCCATCAGCGCCTCCATCTTCCGCGCGTGGTCGTGCCAGGCGTTCCAGCTGATGACTGCCATTGCTCACAACCCCACCCCTCACTCCTCGCAATGTTCTGCTGATAGGCCTACACCGTCTCCCCGCCCGACGAGTCGCCGCGGCAGGTCTCCTACATGCGGCAGGACGCGAGCGTCAAGTGTGGCACCGGCGAGCACGAGTCCATCACCGACCTCGCCATCGGCCTCATCGTCCTCTGGCCCGCCGGCTCGCTGGTCCTCTTCACGTCGCTCCTCGCCGCCTGCTACAAGCCGCTGCAGGCCAAGACGCCGACTGCGCTGACCCGGGCCACCGCCTTCCTCCACCGGGAGTACGAGAAGACCTGGTACTGGTGGGAGGCGGTCGAGCTGGCGCGCAAGCTCGTGCTCACGGGCTTTGTGCTGCTGATAACGGAGGAGCGCGCCTTTGTTCGCCTCGTGGTGGCGACCCTGATCTGCTCCTGCTACGCCGTCGCACTCGCCGTCGTGCGGCCGTACAAGCGGGTCGAGGACAACGTGCTCGCCGTCGCCACCAGTCTCGTGCTCCTCCTTCTCTTCCTCGGCACCAACTGGAGCACCATCTTCCTCGGCATCAAAGAACGCTCCGGGGTCGATGATGCCAACGCAGTCCTTGGCTTCCGCAGCCTCAATGGGGTAGTCAACTCGATGATCGTCCTCGTCGCAGTCGTGCTCGCCTTCTTCCTCGTGGGCGCCATCGTTGCCGCCCGCCGCGTCGCCAAGATCCCCACGATCCGACTCGTCTCGACCAAGCAGCCCCCCGAGATGAGCATCGGGACTGGCCTCACGTGGCACCTCTTCAACAGCCACATCTGGTGAGTCACAGCTATGGAGGGAGAAGAGGAACAGGAACGCTATAGAGTCACCACACACCTCCGAATAGGTCGACCGGTCAGGACGCCGTCGCCGTCATCAAGGGTGAGCTCCAGCAGCTGCTGCCGGGCATCAAGATCTTCCTCGACGCGCGCAGATGCTCAGCACCGCTTCGGAGCTACACACACACATCCACTCTGACGCACCGCGGTGTGCGCGCAGGTAGATGATCTCAAAGACATTGGGGCGCTGGAGGAGTACATCCAGCGCTCGCAGGTCATCCTCTTCTTCCTCTCGAGGGGCTACTTCCGCTCCAAGGCGCGCGCCTCTCCCTCCCACCCCGACTCCAGACCGCACTCTGGCCTTACCTCCCGCCTCTCCCGCGCCACAGAACTGCCTCCGCGAGATCCGCTCGTCGCTCGAGAAGGACAAGCCGCTGGTCCTCGTCCAAGAAGCGGACCCTGACAAGGGCGGCGGGACGCTGCAGGCGCTGCGCGCAGAGTGCCCCGAGGAGCTGCAGCCGGCCATCTTTGACAACGACTGGCCGCTCACGATCTGGTATCGCATCGATGAGTTTCAGCTCATCTCGCTCAAGATCATCGCCGAGGCGCCGCCGGCCACAGCCAGCCGCTACGCAGTCCTCTCTGTCTCCCGACCGACCCCACTTGAACCACAGGCGCTGCTCCTCTGCTCGCCCAACTATCTGAACCAGACCTCCCTCCCGCTCTGCGTGTCGGGCGAGCCCGAGAGCCAGTCGCTCGCCTTTTCCAAACGGGTCACGGTCTGGGCCTCGCCGGCCAACGCGGGCGCACTGGACTTGGCCAACGAGATCGCCGCCGCCTTCACCGGCCTCACGATCTCCACCACCGACGATCGGCCGGCCACCGCGACCCACATGCTGCTCTACCTCAACGAGGACAGCTTCGTCAGCGACGAGCGGCTGGCCGAGCAGGTCAAGCAGGCGCGCCAGGACAGGCTGAAGATCGTCACGGCGCACGAGAACGACCCCGCGCTCGGCGGCTGCCAGTTCTCCAAGTTTTTTGAAACCACGCCGCAGGAGCGATAGTCTCGGCTTTCCCGAGCCTCCCCCCCCCCCCCACACACACACACACAACCCTCTCCTTCCAACGCCGCAGGAGCTCATCGCCGGCGGACTCTACAAGGACCTGGCAAAGTCGTGCTTCCCCGGGCGCCACCGCAAGGCGCGCTCTGTTTCCCACAGCTCGCTTTGCACGCATCGAGCCTCGTGACGAAGGCCTCTCCCTCTCCTCAGGTGTCGCTCGTGCTTCTGGCAAAGAGCCTCGGCGCGACCGCCGCTCGGTCGCGGGCGGACCTCCTCGTTTCGGGCAGCATCGCCGAGGGCAGCACCAGCCTCGCGAGGCGCGGCTTTGACGGCCTCAGCCGGGTGTTCGCCAAGATGAGCAGCCGCAGCTCTGCGGAGGCGCGCGACGTCTCTGGAGGCGAGGCGTCGTCATCGGCGTCGGTGCAGCAACAGGTATGATCGATTTGGATGATCCCGTAGAGGTGAGCGCGGTCAATATACCACACATAACTCTCATAACACATAAGTGAGACGCAGACGGTTTTGATGTGTGTCGAGAGCCGTATCCATGTATATGATGAGCGAAGGAGTCAAACGAGTCGGCGGTCACATGCAAACGATATTGGATATACACACTACACACACGGGTCCCATGCCCCCACGGTGTACAAAACACACATGCGCATCTCAGGGCCCGCGCGCGTTGGTGTAATTGGCCAAAGTACAGGTTTCGATCCGGGCCACCGCAAATTTTGATCAGCAAATTTCGAGGGGCGGCCGCAAATTTTGAGGTAGATTTTGATTGTCAAAACGCGTCCGTCATGCCGCAGGATAGAGCATATAGGCGGCGAACACCCACACACGACATCCCACCACTCAACAGGACGCGTTCACCTCCCCAGAGCCCAGACACGGCTAACGCGCGGGGCACAGCCGTCCTCGCTCAGGCCATCGCATTGCGCTCCCCCGCGACCGACCGCGCGCACCTCCCGGCTCTGGCGCCGATCATTCCTAGCACAGGCGGCCGCCGGATGACGCAGCTGCTTTGATGGCGAGCACGAACGGCCTGCGTTCCAGCTCGAAGCTACGCGTCTCAGGCCCGTCAGAGTTTGTTCTCCTCCTTCTTGGCCAGGTTGAGCGCGCGACGGGCCCGCGACGATGCCTTGGCCTGCGCAATGCTCTCTTCGCGCGCCGCCCGGTCCGCCGAGTCGACCGCAGGGGTCCGAGCCCGGTAGAGGCCGCCGGAAACGGGACTATACGCGGCACCCGCGCTCGTCGCGGCCCGGGGCGTCTTGTTGGGAGAGATCCCCTGGGCGGTCTCCTTCGCCCGCTTGATGCGCTTCATCACCGCGAGCTCACGCGTCGTCTGCTCAATCATGGCGCTCTGCCCGCCTGGCGAGAGGGCGTTGTAAGCGTCCGAAACCGGGGTGACCAAGTCAGACCTGCCGGCGGCGTCGTTGCGTCGCGAACTGCGACGCACATGGCCTTTGCCTGGGCGAACCGCCACGAGGACCTCCGTCCACGCCAGGCGGGCCGACGGGTTGAAGTCGAGGATGGCCAGCTCGTGGAACGCCCGACTCCCAGCGCTCCTTGGATGGTCCAAAGATGTCAGGGGCAGCATGGCGCGCCCGTTTGTTGCACTCGTCTAAGAGAGCATTCCAAGTGCCGGCAGGGCGAGCAGCATCGTCGGCGACGACGGCGGTGTAGACCGTGGTAATGAAGCGCGTCTCTCTCGACCCTTTTGCCGCGAGAGGGCGCCGGCCGCGTGTAAGAGGTGGCTGGCGCCCTCTCGCGGCATTTGGTGGCGTGGGGAGTGCGGAACGCTACTGGCGGCGTGACAGGGCCTCTCTCGGTTGCGTGCGCCGCCCATCGGCACGCGGGTGCTCAGACATCGCGACTCTCCCGCTCTCTCGACCCTTTTGCCGCGAGAGGGCGCCGGCCGCGCGCAAGAGGTGGCTGGCTGGCGCCCTGAGGCGGCATTTGGTGGGGTCAGCGTGCGGTGCTGAGTCTTACTCGTCGGCGCTGGGGCCAGATCTCAGCGCAGAGCTCTGTAACGCTGGCACACAAACACAAGAAGACTAACCCCAACCCTAACCCAACCCTAACCCTAACCCTAACTCTAACCCTAACCCTAACCCTAACCCTAGGTCAGCGTGCGGGGCTGAGTCTTAGTCGCGTCGGCGCTGGGGCCAGATCCCAGCGCAGAACCCTGCAACGCTGGCATATACAGACACAACAAGACTAACCCTAACCCTAACCCTAACCCTAACCCCCCAAACCCCAACCCTAACCCTCTAACCCTAATAACCCTAACCCTAATAACCCTAACCCACCCCCCAACCCCACACCGCAAATTTGAAAGATCAGGGCCTCCCTCTGTTGCGTATGCCGCCCATCGGCACGCGGGTGCGCAGACATCGCGACTCCTGCGCGACTCTACCGCTCGCTCGACCCTTTTGCCGCGAGAGTTCGCCGGCCGCGTGTAAGAGGTGGCTGGCGCCCTCTCGCGGCAATTGGTGGCGTGGGGAGTGCGGAACGGTACTGGCGGCGTGACAGGGCCTCTCTCGGTTGCGTATGCCGCCCATCGGCACGCGGGTGCGCAGACATCGCGACTTCTGCGCGACTCTCCCGGCTCGCTCGACCCTTTTGCCGCGAGAGTTCGCCGGCCGCGTGTAAGAGGTGGCTGGCGCCCTCTCGCGGCATTTGGTGGCGTGGGGAGTGCAGAACGGTACTGGCGGCGTGACAGGGCCTCTCTCGGTTGCGTGCGCCGCCCATCGGCACGCGGGTGCTCAGACATCGCGACTTCTGCGCGACTCTCCCGGCTCGCTCGACCCTTTTGCCGCGAGAGGGCGCCGGCCGCGCGTAAGAGGTGGCTGGCGCCCTGAGGCGGCATTTGGTGGGGTCGGCGTGCGGTGTTGAGTCTTACTCGTCGGCGCTGGGGCCAGATCTCAGCGCAGAGCTCTGTAACGCTGGCACACAAACACAAGAAGACTAACCCCAACCCTAACCCAACCCTAACCCTAACCCTAACCCTAACCCTAACCCTAACCCTAACCCTAACCCTAGGTCAGCGTGCGGGGCTGAGTCTTAGTCGCGTCGGCGCTGGGGCCAGATCCCAGCGCAGAACCCTGCAACACTGGCATATACAGACACAACAAGACTAACCCTAACCCTAACCCTATCTAACCCTAACCCCCCAAAACCCAACCCTAACCCTCTAACCCTAAATAACCCTAACCCTAATAACCCTAACCCACCCCCCAACTCCACACCGCAAATTTGAAAGATCTTGTTGAAAATCAGGCCCGGCCGCAAATTTCTTCAAAATTTTCGCAGGCGCTCCGCGCGCCTGCAGATTTTGAAATAAATTCGACAAAATTGGTACCTGGCCCAATGTATACACACAACACAGGGCTGATTTTTGTGTGTGTTGTCTGTTGACATTTATGAGGAAGTTCCACCATTTTTGTACGGAATTACGGCGATTGTGGAGGGGAGCGCGGAGCGGCGGCTCATATCGGGGGAGGGGCGTAGTACGCGCATGAGATCCGTTCAAGTTGGTGCCGGCTGGCCGAGGAGCAGCAGGCGCTGCACGAACCGCGACGCGCCGCGCCGCGCCTCGCGCGCCACGTCAAGGGGCGTCCTCCCAGACGCGTCGCGCCGCCACAGTGGCGAGCGGCGCGCGCGCAGCAGGCGCAGCGCGGCGACCGAGTCGTGGGCCGCGGCGATGTGGGCCGGCGTGGTGCCCGCCGCCGTCCCTTGGTCCGCGCCACCGTTCAGCTCGCTCAGCAGCGTCCGCAGGGTCCGCAGCTGCCGGCTGCGGCGGCGGCGGCACCACTTGCAGCGGCAGCCGCCGACGCCGACGCCGACCCGCTCGACGGCGAGGTGGAGGGGGGTGGCACCGCCCGCGGCGGCGGCGGTGCTCTCGGCGCCGGCGGCGAGGAGCGCGGCGGCGGCGGCGGGCTGCGAGGCGTTGGCCGCCTCGTGCAGGGCCGTCCATCCGATGGCGGAGGCTGCGGCGGGCGCGGCTCCCGCGGCGAGCAACGCTTTGACGCAAGGTGCAGACCCGCTCGCCGCAGCGAAGTGGAGGGGGGTGCGGCCGGCGAGGTCGGGCTGGCGGGCGGCGGAAGGCGGCGCCGCGCGGAGAAGCTCGTGGAGCGCCTGGGAGGGGGGTATGGGGGGGGTATGGGGGAGGTGTGGGGGAGGGGTGTGTGTGTGTGTGTGGTGGGCTGCTGGGTGGTGGGGTGGTGGGGGGAGTGGTGGGGGGAGTGGTGGGGGGACTGCGCGGAGGGGCGCGGGCAAGG